AAGACCGGAGTTGTGATGACTTCTTTCAGCTGGGGCACGGTTATTGTGGAATAAAACGCGGGAATCCAACCTTAAAGGTCACCAACACAAAGAGGTAAAAGATGAATGGCTCTTGTAGTGCCTCAACCCGCAAGGTGACGGTGCGCTCCTTTCCTGGAAAATAGGCCACTGATATCTGGTGGTGACTGTAGAAGACACGATAGACGGGTTTTTGACTGATGTATCTGTTGATTGTAATTCATGTTCTTGTGTCGCGTCTCTGTCTATTAACCCCGATAAGGTAAAGGTATCGATTGATCTTTGTCAGACGCGCACCAAGTTAACTCTATGTTCCTTCATTAAAACCACATGTACCCGCATAGTTCAGAGCCTAGGGCAGTTCAAGGCTCTCAATAATTATAAATTGCTGTTCCTTTTATATCTAGCAACAGAGGTTTACGTCGTTGTTTTTTTTAATTTCATCAGAAATCAATAGATTACTTGAAGTAATCTATGTTTGAAGGTGCATAGACGTAGACTGAAAATTCTGAATTCATATCTATTACATTTAACGTAAATTTATATGACTGCCCGTTGAATTATAGGAGGCAAATGACGTCACACGGAAATTACTGTTGTTTATATCTCCTGTGGGACATAACAGTGTTTCGGCCGTTCCACATTCATATTATTTACTGTTTACTACGCAACTATGGTACCTTTTGCCAAACTGCATTCATATATTTGAACGGAAGGACTTTAATTAAATTCAGCAAATCTTCAGTCTTATTAGAAGTTCTAGTTTTACACAAGCGTTACATATAGTAGGCTCATTTTGCCCTATTTGTTCCGTAGCGCTGTGGATCTCTTCCGCACGCAGAGTTACGTTCAAACCGGACCAAGCTTTATTTTCAATGCTGGCCTTTCTTCGGTCAGATGCCAAAAACGTTGAAGCATTATAAATAGGACTTTTTACAACCACTTAATTAACGGCAAACGATGAAGTTCTTGGATCCTTTCCGGCATGGTAGTTGTGTGAAAATTAGATGAATAGACTTAATTGCAATTAACCTCACACCTCCCGTAGGAACCTCGTAGCTAAATTGGTCAGAATGGTGGCTGTACCAAAGCCTTCCTCTTGCTAGCGTACGTTCAGATCCCACCGAGGTCGCCAGGATTTTCAAAATTGGGCCAAGTGAATTATCCGTTATTGCCCATAAAAAGCGGTAAAGGCTCTTTTCATAAACAGCCCTCCAAATAAGACACTGTATGAAATTTACAATACTACTTTTAGAGAACTTTTTCGAATAAAAGACACTATGGAGTCATTGACATTTACCAGTGTAACAGTTGCATTTGATGATCGAAGAGTCTGGTTTTTTTTCAATTTATCAATACAATGAAACAAAATGTCGTCTATTCCTGATGTGCAACTCTTAGAAGCCTTCACGTCTTACGAGTTTCTCATATAAACGCAAACTGCGATGTTCTGTGCTTTTGCCGTGCATACTACCCTTTAAAGGCGAGGTTTTAGCCTTTAGGCAAAAATTGCTACTGCAGCATCCACTTAAACTTTTTTAACAGTCAAGCCTTCTCATACTCCTCCTATTGACAATTTCAGTGTTATTCTCAGTTTTCTAAAGTATGTTAACTGTTTTCTGGACTGCGAAGCGTATAGTACCTTATCTTGGTAATTTTAGCATGTAAAGCCCCACATGATTATCGGTTGCCCAAAGTGCCTATAAAGAAAAAACAAGGGGAAATCTCTTTAAAATAATTTCTTGGTCGCATTTGAAATATGCATATGAAAAGCAAGAACTCCAGAAAATCAGTTTCTGATTCTCAAGATTATCATACGATTATTATGAAGGGAACAACGGGTAATAAAACAGGGCCTTAAATACGGAAGGAAATCTTATGGGAGATGTCTAGAGGGCCAAAGTTACATGAATAAATAAAATATGCCCTTCAATGAAATTGGCTACAACTTGACAGATGGCAAATCAGGCGGGACCAGCATCAGTTAAAATTCCATTGCGTGTGTAGGTAGAGGGAGATGTTGTGGGCGGTGGAGATGTGATGCAAGGTGTTACGGCTAGGCAACAAGCGAAGTAGTCAGTCCGTGATAATTTTGTTCTGTTCGCTTACATGGAAGACTGCCGACCCAGCACGAGTAGTGTTTAGTCTGATTTGCTGATTAGCAGTGCGCGGATAGTCTGATTTAATATTTGACAGTTGAAACTCCCTGTTGCCGTGTCATACCGTTCGGAAGCGTCCGTGTCTGACCCCGAGGGTTCTCCTCCCTGCCCTGCATCATAAAACGTTCCAGCTCGTTGCCATCGTCATCATCATCCGAACTCTCCGAAGCAAGGATAGAATCGTCCTCACTCTCGCTGCTGCTGTCACTACAGGAAATGGACTCACAGGCACTGTACGTTTCTGGGTTTCTGGAAACCAGCTGGTGCGCCGTGTACATGTAAATGGGCCCACTTTCATCCTCCACACAGCCCACCATTGGATCATGCTTGATATAACAAATGTTTACCTCCCAGGGTATATTGTTCTCATCGACTTCCGTTGTGCTATTTTTCGCACCCGTAAGGCTACTCAGCTCACGATTGGTTCGCCGTTTGCTCTTGTGAGGCTTTTGAATAGCCGATGATTCTGCTGTCTTTGACCTTTCATTTGATCCATAATAGGTCACGGATGAAAGCGTATCCGTCCTGGAACGATAGTCCTCATAGTCAGGTGCACGAGCATTATTATGTAGAGCAGGCTCTGATGAGTTCCTCTGATAGGATTGGTGGGGAGGTTTAGCTGCACTGCTGTATTTCTGTCGAGATTCTCGCTCCACCTTCGCATAACCGTTTCGCCTATCTTCTTCAATGGACTGCAGGCTACGCGGTTGAATTATGCGTGGATACTCGTTGTTCGAAGCGGATGTGGTATCATCTGATGTTGAAAGAGTTGATTGGCGTGTCTTGGGCTTTTCAATCACCTGTGCTTTTGGCTTCTCCTCTTCGACAGAAATAAAAGACTGGGTATAGCGTTCTTGCTCGCGGCTATCTTCCCTCTTATGGTGATGGTGGTGAGGACGGGACTGGTCGTTTCCAATGCTTTCTTCAGAGTTGGACTCCTTGTCTGCTTTCGCGTAACCATTAGTACGTCTTGGTGGTATCTGCGGCATTTTCGAGGCAGATCTCGTGTCCAGGTCCGCACTAGTGGAAGTACTTGTGAGTCTGTCTACGCTGCTTCCTTCATCGTCCACGGCCGCGGCCATCTGCTTGCCAGTACTAACTTTTTCGATGAGAGGCACGTCCGGCGCCCGGCTCTTTTTCCGAGTGCGCGTAATAGATGTCTCCTCTGCAGAATTATCCCCTCTCGTGGCCTGGTACTGAACAGGTTGCACTGCAACTGGCTGTGTGGCCCTCTCCTTTGCGCGAACTTCTTCAACCCTCATTCGAATGGCTCCGTTCAGCTGTCGGGCATGACTCTCTCCCTTCGTTTTAATGACGACAAATTCCGTGTGGACTTTATCTCTGGAGGAAATAATAAGCATGACTTTCGCTGTCCTATCCAGCAGGGCGTGCTTGATGATCTGGGAGTAGAGTAGATCCGACTGGAATTCACCCGTAGGCCACCAGGACCCGTTGGACAAAGTTAGATTCTCCTTACTCACTCCCAGCTTGCAGCCCACACCTTTTTCTTTCTTAGTCCTTGCTGCTTGACGCTCCTTGTAGATCTGATCCATGGTCTTGTTCATGTCTGCGGGATCACGCAGAGGTACTCTCATTGTAAGCTTCACTGTAAACATCGTTGCGTCGGACTCTTGCTTCGATTTCATTATTTCAGATGCCGGATTAACGGAGAGCTGGACTCTTTATGCAACGACAGCAGATGTTCTGAGTATCAGACGAGAGCGCTTACCGATTTACTCAGTGCCAGTGTAGAGTTCCCATTGGCAGGTTACGTCACCGAGGCCTGATTGGTCGCTTGGTGTGCACACACAACAACAGCCAGAGACAATAACACGAGCGAACACACTGGTTCCCTGGTTCGCTCGCTATTAGCGTTGAGGCTTTTTAGCCTGAGGCCATTTGGACTTTTCGGGTAACCGCCTCAGAGCAAATGACCTGCTGTCCTGACTCTGATTAAAATGGTTTTTCCAGAGACCACTTACAGCAGGCAACACAACTCATGAAATATGCGTAAATCCCTGAAAGATCTCTAAGCCGTCGGAGGTCAGTCCAAATGCCAGGGATCAAAACGCCTGATTACCAATGCACGAGTTGTGTTTAAATGAAAACACCTAAGATGTGTTGGGAGTAATAGTTTGTGAATTGGAAATGACAATTTTCTTAAGAAAAGCGGAAGTGCTAAAATCGCGAAGCCTCAGGCCATATAAGTAAACTTAGTGTGTATGTAAAACTACATACTGCATGCACACAAAAACAAGTGAGTAACTGAACCTGTTTACGCACAGCTGCGTTTCACTAACACTTTAAAGTAATCCTGAGTGCGAATATCGAACAAAAATGGGTGTTCCGCGTGGTGACCAAGCAGCTGATTGCTGTTTGATGTAATATTTCAAGCTGGTGGTACGCCAATTCATTGCAAGTTTCCGTCTTAGTGTTATTTGAGACGTGGTGGAAAGGATGAATTTGCAACCCATCTATAGGGAGGTCAGTAGATGGAAAATTTTCACGGGGTCACATGTCGGGAGGGTAATTAGTAAATTTAAAAAATGGAATAAAATTAGCATTTGCCGTCCTAAACGCCCAATTCTTTTTGTATCAATAATTGTTTTCTTTCCTCGAAATTAATATGACCTTCTGGCGAGTGCGGAGACCGCGGAGTTTCGGGTCTCATTTATTGAATAGCAGCAACTGTTTTCGCATTTCCGTGTTTTGAATCGATTGCTCATGAGTAAAACCTGTACTTTTATTCATCAAAGCACTTAAAACAAGCCAGCTCTTAAAGTTTTTACTTACGTGGTGAGTTCTTGCACGGGCATTTTTCGTGCAGATGGCAGTTTGGTCCATACTTGCAGACCCATTCATATATAAAGCCCACTTGCAGAAGGACCTGGACGTCCACGATGAAGAATTGCAATGAATATGCTCTTGCTCAAATTGAAAGACTTCTCTTTTAAGGTGTTATTAGACTAGTATGAGGCTGAAAACCCACGCATCTCAGCTTTTACAAAATAAATTGAAAATGATTGCCAGTTCGGGCCGTTCCCAGATTTCCTTTTCTGTTGTAGACGAAAACTACCCTGCTTCTTTTAATGGAAACCTGTTCGTACCATTCCTTAAGTTTTGGTTCCGTGCTAGGTACATAAATACACTGCAGAGTAGTCATGTATATACATGTGTTGCCTTTGGCGGTTTCAACTTATGCCTTTGCAGAAATTAGGCTTCAAAAAGTACCATGTCTATGCTCCAAGGTTCAAGTGGCCACTGGATGTTGGGCCTCATCGTAGTTACCGTCATGATACTTGAATGTACCTAGAACCCATGGAGGGGCTAACACAACGATGCCCACAGGTGTTCTTTTTTCAGTCTTCTCAAAAAGTGAAAAGTAAATGAACATAAAAGTCAGCACATTGTAGTAAGAAAACATTCTGGTTTTCTGAACGTAAGGCGCGTCCTCATATCTCGCCTCAAATGATTCACGCGGATTGAAATAAAATACGTTTCAGGTGGATACCGAGAAGTGGCTATTCCAGTCTCCCTTGTCTCTACCGACAACGCTATCTGCCTTGTCGCTGTGCGGTTGCTTATGCGGCTCTAGAAAGTGTCCCAAGGCAGAACGGGACGAGTGAATTGTGTAAGGAGTCGGTGAACGTTCATCAGCCGGTGTCAATACCTACGGGCAACTGGCAAGACAACGAGCTTATGGCTCAATAGTTAGAGTGTTAGACTTCTAATCAAAGGGCCACAAGTTCGAGCCTTGGGTGGTGCCTCGCTTTGGATTGGGTATGACTGGAGGACGACAGCTAATGAGCCAGAAATGCCCAGCCCAGTCTCCCTTGTTTTTACCGACAACGCTATCTGCCTAGACTATCAGTCGCTGTGCGGCTGTTGGCAGAACTCGAGAATGAGCCCCAAGTCAGAACGGGACGAGTGGGCTAAGTTAGGTATCGGTGAAGGTCAATCAACGAGTGTCGATACCAATACTTTTGGTAAATATTGATCGGTTATTCTAACGGCCTTATTAAAAGAAATACGCACAAATTCGTATATATCTAATCTTCTGTGGTTAGTAACGTAGGATGTTGTATGCATTTGCCCGAATGATGAGTTACAGCAGATTCCCTGTCTCATGAAATATCATTTTTCGACAAGAACAAATAACTTAAGCAGGTTTTTTTTAATAAATATTACCCTACGGCCTAGTCTCAATATATTTCAGTCATGTCAGGATGTCGAATTTTAAAAAAGCTTCTTTCTGACAGTCTGCAAAAAGTGTATTCTGTAAAAAAATGTTGCTTAAGCAGCATGCATTTTTAATTAATTTTTACGGTCTCCGTAAATTTAAACAAATTTTATAGAAAAGATGCGCGGAAATATTTTTCATTGTACCTGTTTGGTAGAAAATTACGCCTACTCCCAGTTTTATACTTGAAGGAAATTTATCTTTCAGTTAACAAAAAAACTGCCTAAACTGTTAAATAATTTGAACCCTACCAGCCGTTACAATTGTATTAAAGGTTTCCAAACTAAATGCTGCGTAGAAAGAGTAGATATTTTCCTGCGGTACGAGGATGTGGTGAAATATTCCTCCTAACATTTTCCAATGGATGTTAATCATCTTGTGTAGTTTGTAAGCAACAATAATACATTGACAGATATGGTGTATTATGAATGAATATTTAACGGTCGTAAAAAAACCTAATGATAGCGATCGCTTCTGCTGTTACTTGCAGTCGCTGACCCAGGAATTTGGGGCAGCTTGGTGGGACCTTATCTGAAAAAAGCGTAATTTACTCCCAAACGAGTACAAGAAAAACATTTTGTTTATGTCTTCTATGAAATATATTTGAATTTACAAGGACAAAGAATGTGAATATATGAGTATACTTATTGCACACGGTCTTTTTAGAAGCTTGTTCAAAAGCTGGCATCCTAACGTGACTGAACTATCTTGGGATGAGACTGCATACTTATCAGTATTACAAATTCAATACTTTCTTCGAATTAAAAACACGTGTCAGAATTTCTGGAGGTAGTTCATAAAATATGGAATCTACTGTACGCCCAAAATGTAAACCTTTTCACTTACAAAACAACGTAAAAGATAGTCTGTACACGAAAATTGCTTTTTCGGGAACTCGTCAAGTGAGAAACACAATTTTTGAGAGTTTCTGAGTTAATTGTGCAAAATTAGGCGATCACGCTACGTGGTTTGAGTCGTCTGTTACTGACTAATGAGCCTTGCTACCCGTTTATGTATATACCACCGCCTGCTATGACTCTCCAGATGAAGAAGACCTGAGAAAGGTCTAATTGCCTGACGCGTAAAACATCACGTGATGCTTTTGAAACTACCCTGTATGCTCTTTTTTAATTAAAGGTTGTCACTGGCTAACTGACCTTAGTATATATGAAGCTAACGACAAGGATAGGCTGAAAATTACAAAAAAACTATTTTTTGAACGATAAAAATGCAACATCAAGGCTTCTTCTTATTTATTTGTTCAGTTAAAGCAACACGTATTGGCAACCTTTAATACCCTACATACATTAATCAAATAAACACTGAAAGAACCCTGTGTTTCCTCATATTTTTGCCTAAATAAATGTTCTTTAAACTGAAAAAACTTCAAAAGGCATCTCTAAAGTAATAAATATGCTTAGCCGATAACAAAACTTGTGAATTTTAGAATTCTTCAAAGTGTAGATGTTATTTCCCATCTTTTATCAATACTTCGTTTGCTGCCCATTTGTCTTGTGCACATAGGTATCAGACCTCATTTGTGCAGCTAAATCAACTTCCACAAATCTTTTACCTTTCAAGAGAAAATCCTGATAAAAAGAGCGAATGCTTCTTGCAGACGGAACGTATTTCTAAGGATCCAAATTAACATCTAACATGCAACTTAACGTTTCTGGTTGGCCGTTCATACAGCATTAGGTATTTTGCAAAAAATTGATCCCAGTTTATAATACTGTCATATTTTAGTTAAAAGTGCGAAATATGCCCTACGAGATACTTATAATAAAACTAAACGGTTGCAATCATCATGCTTCGTTTTCGAGAACCTTTGACAAGTTGACTCTTTCCGAAACGAAATTTATGCATGTGCCCAAATTCATTTGTCAATTTTGTGGGCAGACTGACGGCCTCTTCTCAGAAAGCATTACCGGCAAAGACGAGGAAAACTGGAAAAGTCATTTCTGGCCCGTTAGCCGTCACCAGCCAGTCACAGCCAACCCCAAGTGGTGCACCACCCGAGGCTCAAACACGCGACCTTTGGATCGGAAGGATGACGCTCTAACCATTGAGCGTCCTTGCCGGCAGTTTTCGTCTGCCTAAATTAATAGCCGTCGTGCAGCTGCTGGCGGGAATCTACAATAAGCCCCAAGGCAGAAGGGGCCGAGTGAGTCCCGTTAGCTATTTTCGAACGTTCGTCAACGAGGGTCTGTTGTCGGTTTCCGGGTCGGAGAAAATCGTAAACCTGCAGAGGCTGAGGACTAGGTATGAAAATAAAGGAGCATAATTTATTCTCACAACCTGGTATGATTAGACCTTGCAGTCTGACGCAATTTTATGACATTTCATTTGCACATTTCTCTCCAGGTTCTGGATTAAGCTGGCTGAACCAACTCGTTATAACCAACT